CGATGAGCACCTCCTTGGATCACCCACTTCAGATTCCCCCATTGCTGTCCTAGGTAAAAAAGTGACAGTGGGGAACAAACTGATTGTCCTTTAAGTGAATGCAGGTGGAACGTATTCAGTGTTTAATTTTATTTGTGTGTTAGTTTAACTAAGACAGACATGTATTTAGAGTTATCAGCATCAAATACAGAACTTTTATTCTGCCAAGGTTTCCTAAAGGTCAAATAAGATCATGTTGTCTCTGTTGCAATTTGTTAGCAAATGATGACTTAAAGGGTAATTTTGTGTATCTCAAAGTTTTCATAGATAATTGTTAAGAGAGCTTTCAATGTCTTTGGTAATCTGACACTTGAATAAATGGGATTGAATTCGCTGGATATCTAGGTCTTTTCCAAATAGAATGGAGTGCTAAAGCATTGATTACTGAACATAGATTTGTGCTTTTGACTTCTTATTGGAGAGAAACTAGGAATATTTGGGTCTTTTAGAAAACATGCTTTGTGCTTAATTGATTCATGAATTTGCCATCTAAAGGATTCTGGTGTAACAGTTTAGAATTGGGTCCTACTTAGTCTCGGCTGGAGACTAAGTTTCTAAAAGTCAAAATTCTGCTAAACATAAAAAGACTGATGGAAATAAGGAAAGCAACTCTACATGTGAAAAAGTATGAATGTGTAAAAAAGAGAAAAGGAATGGAAATATATTTTTTGTTGCAAGTAAAAGAAAGTAATTTTGTCCTAAATGAGACTGGTTTGGAGAAAAATGGCCTGGGACAAAATTTGAATGCAAAGGTAAGTTGTAGAAGGTTCATGAAGGGAAATCTGTGGAAAGGAATTTTATGTGTAGTTATGACAGACTAAGTTGCAATGAATGGATTTTCAAAGGTACACTGTTATAATGTTGAAATTCTGCTTTTCTCTCTGTTGAAAAGACAAAGTTTTTTTGGATTGTTCGGCTCTTGATAAATAATAATAATAATAATAATAATAATAATATACAAAGGATTGTATTCTCTTTTGTCTGCCCGGAAAACCACAGTTTCAGGTTTTGTCTTTATCAGGTCATTGATCGCTTAGTTAAAACTTCTAACTGTTAAAGGAGCAAAGTTTTGTAACAACTACATAACCCTTCATATTTGCCTTTGGAATCTCTTATTACCATCTTAGTTAAATAAATAATTTAAAGCTTTAAGATTTGTAATGATCTGAATCCCATTTCAGATGTGCTCTATAACTTTCTAAGGTTTAACAAAATTCCCAGCATTTAAATTGTACAGAAAGTCCCTTTGACCAAGGAGGACTTTTTATTTGGTATATTAAGTGAAAAGCCCTGTTAAATAGTGGTACATCTTAGGTGACATTGCTTGGGTGAATGTTGTAACTGTTCAAAGATATGTGCAATTCCTAAAGTTTTTTTTT